CCTAACCTGACCTGTATCCTACCTCAATAGCAGCAAAAGTGTTTTTGCAATACAATAAGTACATTGTACTTATTTTATGTTAGTACATAGTAGTTAAGGCCACCTAATATAAAGTGGGATCGACAAAACATTTCATTTGCATATTTAAACAGCATTTCTGAAAACTTGTAATAGCTGACTTATGTTTATGCGTGTTTTGTAGCTGTTTTAGGAGCCGCTGAATGCTCCTGTGGAAGAAATCACTTCACATGTGCGGTCAGTGCGTTTGGCGAGTGCACGTGCATCCCGGCGCAGTGGCAGTGCGATGGTGACAATGACTGCGGAGATCACAGCGATGAAGACGGCTGCAGTGAGTCTCTTAACACACTCCTTCATGAGAGATGCACAAACCATTTATTTATTCGTTCCAAGACCGTTTGCTCTGAGGTCAAATTGTTATTCAGTCCTCTGCTGAAACCCTTCTCTACAAAAGTTATTTTGAATGGTAGTGTTCATTTATATGTGTGCTGGAGTATCCTTTGTTCAGTTGTTGTATTGAGCACACTTCAAATGCGTTTTCCATTGACAAAGGGGTTCGCAAAATGCTTTGCAATTGAAACATTCGGAAATCTCTCTCAAGTGCTGTAGAGTCTGTAGTGGTTTCACACTCAATAAAACGGTAACGTGATTTATTTTTTTTGAGAACAAAAAGAGCGCTGGATGAAGTGAGAATTTATCTACAATCAATTGAAATTGATTGTACATCACAAAGTGCATTTACATGCACTTTAAAAGTCGATTTCAGTCAGACTAAAACCATCATTTGTCTTCATAAAATGTCATGTAAATGCTTTAGCCTGACTGAAATTGTAATTTTTTTTTTGGTGAAGTTGGACTAACAGACCTACATAATTCAATTGCAGTGCAGCTTTGTCTAGCATGTATATGCAATTCTTGCGAATAAGACATCTGTGACCCTGGACGGCAAAACAGTCTTAAGTGTCAAATTTTTTAAATTGAGATTTATACACCATTCAAGTTTAGAAAAATCTATAATTTTGACACACAATGTATTGTTGGCTATTGCTACAAATATCCCCCAGCGACTTAACACTGCTTTAGTGCTGCAGGGACACATTTTAGCATACTTAGACACTTTAGTATACTGTAAAAAAAATCTAATAAAATTAAGCAAAGTAAAAATAAAATGTTGGATGCTTATGTGCATGTTAATTTCAATTAAATGAACATTTATTGTAGCTTAAATTTATTACTTAATACAGTTACATGATTTTTTTTGACCCACTTAAGTAAGACTTCAATTCATTACATACTTCTATTGTATTTGAAATATGGTTATAAGTACTGCTGAATGTACTGAGAAGCATGTATAGTAAACTACAGTGTGCATGTTAATTTCAATTAAATGAACATTTATTGTAGCTTAAATTTATTACTTAATACAGTTACATGATTTTTTTTTTGACCCACTTAAGACTTCAATTCATTACATACTTCTATTGTATTTGAAATATGGTTATAAGTACTGCTGAATGTACTGAGAAGCATGTATAGTAAACTACAAAAAACATTACATTCATTTGCATTGAAATATATTCTGAAGTATATTCTAGCTGCCTAATACTATAGTATTTAATAATATTTTGATTGAAATGGCTTTTCTTTTTATATTTTCAGTTTTAATTTTATTTTTTGGTCATTTTGGGTGCTTTAAGAAAACCTTTCTGCTTAGCTTTTTATTTTTATTTCAGTTTTTGCAATTTTAGTACTTGAACTTCAACTTTATTTCAGTTAACGGATTTTTGTTCAATTTTTGTTTTTGTTCAATTTCTCTCTTGTTTAAATCTTTTGTATAGTATTTATATTTTATTTGAGTTTTATTTCAATTTTTAATAGTTTTAGTTTTAGTAAAAAATAACAACACTGGTATAGCATGTATACTGTTTTCTGAATGCATAGCAGTTATGATATATGAACTATTTTAGCCAAAATGTGCAGTACAATCAATACATTATTATATGTTTATTATACTATTTTTTTGTCTTTTATTTAACTGGTTAACTGGTTTTGCTTTCCTCCATTTCTTCAGTATTGCCCACATGCTCACCGTTAGACTTTCACTGCGATAATGGAAAATGCATCCGGCGCTCGTGGTTATGCGATGGAGACAACGACTGTGAGGATGACTCCGATGAGCAAGACTGTCGTGAGTAAATTCAGTATTTGTGTTATAGTTTAAAGAAAACACAGGAAAAAAGGAAATTCGGTTATTATTTAGTCACAAAAGGAGAACATTTGAAAAATCTACTTGTCCATACAAGGGCAGTAGATAGTGACCATCTTTTCAAGCTACAAAAGGTAGCCTATCAAAATTATTTTTAAGACTCATGCTGTATATGTGACTCTGGAGATTTCGAAATTGAGATTTATACACCATCTGAAAGCTAAATAAAGCTTTCCATTGATGTATGGTTTGTTAGGATAGGACAATATTTGGCTGAGATACAACGATTTGAAAATCTGGAATCTGAGGGTGCAAAAAAATCTAAATATTGAGAAAATCATCCTTAAAGTTGTCCAAATGAAGTTCTTAGCAATACATATTACAGATCAAAAATTAGGTTTTGATATAGTTATGGTAGGAAATTTACAAAATATCTTCATGGAACATGATCTTTACTTAATATCCTAATGATTTTTGGCATAAAAGAAAAATGGATCATTTTGACCCATACAGTGTATTGTTGGCTATTGCTACAAATATCCCCCAGCGACTTGACTTACTGCTTTTGTGCTGCAGGGTCACACATTCTAGCGTTGTGAAAGCATACGATAAGGTTTGGTGAGAAACAAACCAAAGTATCATCTATTATTTAGTGAAAATCTTGACCTTGGGGAGTTGCTCTGAATGGCTACAAGCAGCTGTTTGGTTACCAACGTTCTTCAAATACTTAATATTTGTGCTCAACAGAAGAAAGAAACTTGTACAGGTTTGGAACAACTTGAGGATGAGTAAATGATTTGTCTGCCATAAGCTTTCCATGAATTTTTCATTCCTTTCCAGCACACTGCCTCATCTCTTGCATTCAGCATCTCTCATCCTTCAGCTTTTGTCTGCTCTTTTGGTTTATATTATCAGTTAATATATCAATATTGTGATCATTTACACTTCCTCTGTGAATTAGTGACATGCACTAAAAATAGCCCAACGACTGCTGTGTTTCCTGTGTATTGTGATTCATTTTTTTAGCATTTTTTGTGAAAGTGAGTTTTTATATCCCGTTTTTATTTAACCATATGCATTTTATTACAAAGGAGCCATCAAAACAGAGGTATGATAAAGAGTTCCGTTGCACTGATGGAAGCTGCATCGCAGAACACTGGTACTGTGATGGAGACACTGACTGCAAAGATGGAACTGATGAAGAGAATTGCCGTAAGTTGATTTTGAGTTTGAGTTCACCTGTTTGTCAGATGAACATCCCTGCTGCTATCCATGCATCCATCATCCATCCATCCATCATCCATCCATCCATAAATTGTGCATCCATCATATATCCTTCCATCCATCCATCCTTGCATCCATTGTTCATGTATTCATGTTTCCTTCTATCATCCATGCATCCATCCATCCATCGTTGTAACCATTAAATATGCATCCATGTTTCCATCCATCCATCTATCCATCCATCCTTGCATCCATTAATCATGCATCCACGTCTCATCTATCCATCTATCCATACGTGATGCATCCATCCATCCTTACATCCATTAATCATGCATACATGTTTCAATCTATCCGTCTAAGCAGCCATCAGCCATCCATCCATCCAAGCACTCATCCATTGTGCATCCATCATATATCCTTCCATCCATCCTTGCATCCATTAATCATGCATCCATGTTTCAATCTATCCATCTATGCAGCCATCATCCATCCAAGCACCCATCCATTGTGCATCCATCATATATCCTTCCATCCATCCTTGCATCCATTGATCATGTATCCATGTTTCCTTCTGTCATTCATCCATCATTCCATCCATCCATCCTTGTATCCATTAAATATGCATCCAAGTTTCCATCTATTTTGCATCCATCCATCCTTGCATCCATCCGTCCATGCATCCATCCATTGCTTGCCTGTAAACAGAATCTACAGAACAAAACACATAGGGTGGGAACATGAAATTTGGGCTGAAGGTTCAGAACATTGACCGCTACACATGGAATCAAAGTCATGCAAATTGTCACATTGGTGACGCTAAAGAGAAAATTCATGTTTTAGTCATATTTCTTCAAATATTTTAGATTTTTCTGAATCATTTCTGCTCATTCTAGGCCATCCAAAGCTGTGCATGTATAGTGTCTCCAAGAGCTGCTTGACAGAAAAATAAATATATATTTGTAAGATTATTTTGTAGATAGCAGATGCCTGCCAAAATATGTAGACATGAATGCAAAAAGATTTCACAAAACCATAGACTGCTACATTGCAGTGGAAAACAGTTCACCAGAGTTTAGTTTTAAAAATAAGCTCCTAATTTAAGGTGATCACAAGAAATTCACCACCATTGAACAACATCTGTATACACAGGAACTATTCTGCCAAATTGTGGTCAATTTCTCCACTTTTTTCATATGCTTGGAATCCCAGTGATTGCTGCTTGTGACTGTATTTATTTCTGTTATATTTGTTTTTGCTTGTTTTATTTATTGCAAATAGCTGTTGAGAGGGATTTGTTGGACTGTTTGCGTGTGCATGTGTGTGGGAGTGTAAATCACGTTACATAATTTCTCTCTCCAGCATCTGACGTGATGACAGCCACATGCAGTGTTGAGGAGTTTCAGTGTGCATATGGCCGCTGCATTCTGGACATCTACCACTGTGATGGAGATGACGACTGCGGGGACTGGTCTGATGAGTCGGACTGTTGTAAGGAACATCGAGTGAGAAGAGTCTCACTCTCTTCTAATTTTTTTTCCTTTTTTGGTTTGGAAATGCCTCTTTTCTTTCTCTGCTTACAATCATTATAATTCATTCTCACCTTTCCTTGTAAAAAAAAGCACACTTTAGCATACTTATAATAGAAATAATATACTTTGTAATTAAATCCAAATGTATTATAATTTCAATTTATATTACCAAATAAGTTTAGTATTTTGAGCCACTTAAGTAGGTTTTAAGTACATCTTTATGTAATTTCATAATTCTATTGTCTCTGAAATATTGATAAAGTGTACTAGCGAATGTACGGACAAGCACTTATGATAAACTAAACTATACTTTAATGTCATTTTTGTTGAAATTTTATTATTTTTTTTAAATTATTTTTAAGGCCTGGTTTCACAGACAGGGCTTAGACTAAGCCAGGATTAGGCCGTAGTTCAGTTAGGACATTTAAGTAATTTTTTATAAACATGCCTTACAAAAAACATTACTGGTCATCTTGAGACGAAACGAAGGCGGTGACATGTTTTAAGATCAAGTCAGTTTAAGTTTCTTTTAGCTGAAACAGTCCAGACATACATTTTAGTCTGGGACTAGGCTTAAGCCTTGTCTGTGAAACCGGGGGTAAATGTGATATCAAACAAAACACTACAGTTAAAATTATAATTTGGTACTTTACATGTGCTTTACTATGTTAGTCAACACATCAAAATAAGTGTACTTTAAAGCATGAAAAGATTATTAAAACAATGATTTATAATGTACTTTAAAGTAAAACATTTACTTTGACATTATTACAAAGTGCCATTTCAAGTGTACTTAAGTGTGTTAGGAATGAAAGTGTCTGTCTTTAAGTACACTTAAAAAGTGCAATTTTTTTAGATATACTGTACATTTAATATTTGATGTACACTACAAGTGCACATTTAATACAATCAAGTGCGCTTGTTTTAGTGTTTCATTTAAAAAATATATATTTTAGCATAAAATGGTTCTCCTTACTGTAAATCTGTGGATTATTTATTTTTTAATTTGCTTGTTGGATTTTTCTTTGTATTAAAATGATTAAATGATTATAATTTTACCAGTAGTGTCTTGTTCAATATTACATATAAAGTTAACATATTTTAAATCCATTAAATTGCAACTTCATTACAAATGTGTACTTTGTGCAGCTACATATACAAATGCTTAAGTCCTGTGTTAATTGGTCAAAAGGCACTCAAGTTCATCTAAATAGTTATTGTAGATTTAAACTAATACATTTGCATTTAATTGAAATTAAGATGCAATTAGTGTCTGGAAACATTTAATTCAATTCACACTTAACTGTATTCAGTGTATAAAATAGTCTATTTTCATAAAAGTGCTCTTTTTAAAAGTATGCTAAAGTATACTACTTTTCACAAGGGTTATTCAAGAAGATTTTCTAATACAGATGAGTTTCGTGTGTGTGTGTGTGTGTGTGTGTGTGTGTGTGTGTGTGTGTGTGAACGCAGCCTCCCACCAGCCCTCCCTTTCTGCAGAGTT